TGGTGGGAACCTAGGTTATGGTGTTTCTTGATGCCGCTTTCAGCTGGCTCTTCTAGCGAAAACGCGGTAGAAAATGTCAACAACATCCTGTCCATCGCTCGCTGTTCCATTCAGAGCGATGCATCTGGGGGCCTGCTCTAAGCTTGTCCCCCCCGACGCGGACGCACCGGCTCCGTTCCGCGTGGCTGTTGCCGCGGACGTAGAGCTGGCCGCATTCGGCCTATTTAACTCTCCCGCTAGCTTCCAGAGGCTTATTCATACAGTCTTGGATGATGCAAAGTTTCACTATGCAATGGCCTACATGGACGACGTAGTATAGTGCTTTCTAATACGATTGAGAAACGCCTTTACCATTTGCAGGTCGTCATGAAGCGCATGACTGCAGCTGGAGTCACGTTAACCCGTCAAATGTGCAACTTGCATCACCCAAAGGGGAGCTTCTTGGCTTTGTGGTGAACCAACGATCAGAGTATCCGCAAAAAGAGAAGCTCGGAGCAAATATAGAATTTACCCATCCACGAGACAAAAAACTTTTACAACGGTACCTTGGCATGGTAGGATTCTACCGCGAGTTTATTGCCAACTACGCTCATATGGCCCCTTTCCTTCGCCGGCTATTACATCGTGAGGTTCCGTGGACCTCAACTTCCACTCAGGAAAAAGCATTTAAAGTGATTTCAAAGGCTACTGCTTATACTGCATCTCTGAGACTTCCTACTCTCAATGCTCCATTCGTCCTCTAAACGGATGCCAGCGAGTACGGTACAGGAGCAATACTACTCCAGGAACATGACGCAGCGTTCCGGTCCGTTGCATTCGCGAGTCGTATTCTTACCGCCGACGAATGTTACTATATGGTAACCGAAAATGAATGTCTAGCTATAATATTCAGTTTGAGAAAGTTCGAGATGTACCTGGATGGGACAGCTTTTACCATCCAGACTTACCATCAAGCATTAACGGAGCTGAAAAATCTTTACTTAAACAGCGCAAATAAGTTACGTGAGGAAGAGACAACAGGAAGGAAAGAGCGCTGACTCACAACTGAGGTTTTAATAATGATGTAGTGAAAGAGAAGGAAGGTGTCAAGTGCGGTAATATTATTAAATTAAAGAACGTTACAATAGACCGATCTCACTAAGCGTTGGGCGCATGCGTAGAGCCGCCATAACTTTAGTTCACAGGAGGCAGACGGCAGTGCACGCGAGGGCTCGTGCCTTCTCGTGCTCTACACGCGAAGAGCTTCAGCGAGAGTGTCGCACGTGGAAAAAGACTAAAGTTCCCTCGATGCATTGCGGCAGCGGTGGCCTCCTCAAACTGGCTGGTGAGATCGGTCTATTATTAACAAGGGCCATATTAACGGAATGACAATTTGCATTTTTAAGTAACCCAAGTGAATATATCTACGTACAAATATTCAGATGTGATCTACAAAATTGACGGTGACCCAACGGTTACTGGTTGTCACAGCCAGAAAAAAGAAGGTGTGCATCAATGTGAGACTCGGGGAACATGCACTTTCTCTAAACTCAACGGCAGCGGGCCATCTTGCTGTGCATGTGAGAGATTGCGGGTGCACACCAAGGTTTTCTGAGACTAAGGTGCTTAAACATTTTAAGGAACAAAAGAGTAGAGAGGTGTACGAGGCGTGCAAGGTCGCGAATGAGTGCCTGGCCTGTTTAAGTACGCCTTCGATTGCACTGACGGCGAAAGAGCTCCAATTTTTGAATTTTTGTTCCTAAATTATTTTTTCTTCCTGTCTTCTTCTTCTCCTTTTTTTCCTTCTCAATTTTCATTTCTGTGGAAGCCAACCCCCCTTGGGATCACCGTCTACATCGTGTTTCTTCTTCTTTTTTCTGGCTGTGACAACCAGTAACCGTTGCGTCACCGTCAACTTTAATAATAATAATAATAATAACTTTATTCATCACCACAGATACATGTGGTGAATGGGAGGCCAGAGAAAAAGCTGCATGAACGCAGCTTGACGAAGCTCCGGACCCCCCATTCAGCAGCTGCGACACGACACATAAATGTATTTACCATGAACATTTCATTTTTTGTGCATTTATGTATGATCATAAGTAACACATGTACGATCAAGATTTAAGAAAAAACAATTCGAGGATATTATTCTTCGAAAGCTGAATAACATCTATATTCCGAATAAAATAATCATTTAATAACATAGGTAACGTGTAGCTCATTTTCTGCTTACCATAATTGGTTCTGCATTTGGGAATCTGCCAAGGCTGGCGATGTCTAGATGAGCAATAGTAACTTTTTTTTCTTTTTAAATCAGCGAGTTAAAAAATTATATCGTTACGTCCATGTGCCGCATACTTATACGAGAGTGTCAGTCGATAATCATGCATTTGATCTATGTTAAGAATTTTGTAAATTTTAAACAATGGTTGTGTTGGATGTATGTAAGGAACGTTTGCAATTATTCTTACGACCTTTTTCTGGAGTAAATGTATCGCATTTAAATTTGACATGGATGTATTGCCCCACACCAAGTTACAATAGCATAAATGGGAATAGAATAATGAATTGTATAGCACCCTTTTTACACTCGTGGGAAGAACATGTCTATGTTTATTCATAATTCCTACTACCTTTCCAAGTTTAGCACAAAAATATTTATTGTGATCATTCCATAGCAAGGTTTCAGAAAAAATAATTCCAAGCGTTTTTATACTGTGTACAAACTCAATACTTAAAGATCCAAACTTGAGGGGTGTGGAAAGTCTCTCACCCGAACCACGAGGTCGGAACATGACTGCTTTTGTTTTTGATACATTATTGTTTAAGCAATTTATTTCTGACCATGCCTTCAACTTTAAAAGAAATGCATTGGCTTTATTTCTTAGGCTCTGCTCACAACTGTCTGAAAACAATATGCTAGTGTCATCTGCATAGATGATATATTTGCAGTTTGGATCAATGTTTACAAAGTCATTAATATATAGTGTAAAAAGAAGGGCCCCTTAGATACTTCCTTGTGGAACTACTGACGATATGTTTGAAAGGGTTGATTTTTGGTCATTAATTACCACAAACAGAGAGCGATATTGTAGATATGATTTTATAAGTGCAAGCGGAAGATCTCGAATACCGTAAGCAAAGAGTTTATCTAGCAAAATAGTGTGATTAATGCAATCAAAAGCTTTGCTGAAATCTATAAATATTCCAAGCGTCAGTTTCTTTTCTTCGAAGTTTCTAAGTATACATTCTTTCTGAACTAATAATGCTGCTTCTGTAGACCGATTTCTTCGGAAGCCGAATTGATAGTCTGTTATAAGAGAATGTTTGTCACAAAAATTTACAATCCGCGAGTGAATTATTTTTTCTAAACCTTTCGAAAATACTGGAAGTATAGATATAGGACGATAATTCCCTAATTTGTTTTTGTTTCCAGTTTTAAACAAAGCTATAACTTTCGCAACTTGCATGCTTTGCGGAAAAGTACCAGATGATAGGGCGAGGTTGTATATAAAAGTTAGGCATGGGGCAATGATATCAATCACGTATTTTACTGGTCTAATTTGTAGATCGTCTGCATCACGGCTCCGATTATTATTGATACACATGATAGAGGATAAGACCTCACTTTCATCCGTTGGGAATATAAAGTGCGATTCTGGAGTTGACGAGATATTTTTTGACGCTTCTGAGTTATAGTAGCTGCTACCTATATTAACAAAAAAATTGTTGAATACATTTGCAAGATTCGATCCATTAAGAACTTCGCCATTATGTTCTATATTTTCAATCGGATCTAATCTGCACCAGGTAATAAAAACGCTCTTTATACGTTTCCATATTATATCGGCCTTTTTTAGGCAGTCGGCATCAAAAATACTGGAATAATAATTATTTTTAGTTCTTTTAATTTCCGTGGTTAATTTATTTCTGTAGTCTCTAAATTGGGCTAGCACTATTTCATCCCGAGTCGCAAGGAATAAATGATAAAGTTCGTATTTCCTGCGTATTTTTTTTAAGAGTGCCGATGTCATCCAAGGCTTCCGTCCTTTTCGAGCAAGTTTTACGGTTTATTTGGAAAACAGTCAAAATATATATGTTTAAACTTTTCTATAAACTTGTTATAGGCACTATCCGCGTTACCAGTATGAAATACATCTTCCCAACTTGTGTTAATTAGCTTATTTCGAAATATGTCTAGTGTGGCTGGTGTAATGTTTTGGAATGTTATTATAGTTGTGTCTTGCTTACGTGGTTCACGTGTTGTGTTGACTAGCATAAATATGGGCAAATGGTCACTTATATCTGAAGCTATTACACCAGCATTGACCTTTTCCTTTTCATAGTTTGTAATAAACAAATCAATTAATGTTGATGTAGAAGCTGTAATGCGAGTCGGGTAAGTTATAACATTCGAGAAGCTATTTGCCGTTAACAACAACATTAATTCAGCAGTGCTGGGGGTTTCCTCTAAAAGATTAATATTTAAATCTCCGCCTAAAAAGAGATAATACTTGCATTCGTTTGCATAACATAATAACCTGTCTAGAAAAGCAAAAAACTTCGCGATATTGCCACTTGGTGGGCGATATACAACCGAAAAAATGTTAAGATTATGTTTTACGCACAGTACTTCGTAATCATCTGTAACCAAGGTATAGTCTTCAATAATTTCACACTCATGGTTTGCTACTAGCATGGCGACACCACCCCCACGCCCGGATGCCCGGTTATGATAAAAATGTTGATAGTGCGGAATAATAAAAAAATCTTCTTCGTCTTGATACCAGGTTTCAGTGAACATTATCACGTCAACGTGCATTGAAATCATTGAAAAAGAAACATGAGATCGTCAGACTTAGATCTAGCCGATCTAACATTCAAGTGGAACAGCTTCAAAAGGTGACACTTCTTTTCATTTACATCCTTACGGATATCCTCTGGTAAAAACAAGTCAGCTACTGCCATTTCGAATGATTAAAATGCAGTCATACCATATCCGTGAATTTTTACTTTTAACAAATCTTTAGGAGATCGCCTTCGTGTTCAATCGACACAAAGTCGGTAGTTTCTGATTTGCGGGCTAGGATCTTCCCATTTCTTACCCATGCAAATTTCCAGCCGGCATCGCGTTTTTTGGCAATAGTCTTACCAAGCAATTTTTTCAAAGTTGGGCACAAATGTTCGTTTATAAAAACGGGTGAGTCTGCGGAAAGTCCCAGGTCTTCGTTCGTGATTCGTTTTGATCGGGCCTTTGCAAGCACCCTGTCGACAATGTTTTGCTTTCCGCGTTCTCGTGTGCGAACTCGATGACAGATTTCGACGTCCGCCGTATCAATCCGTTCGCCAATTGCTTCTCCGAGCTGACGCAGCGTTTCGTTCAGATTTTCGTTGGCGATTACTGGTACTCCTTTAATTTCAAGGTTGTACGCGCGTGAGTGTTGCTCGCAATGTACAATGCTCATTTGGCTTGTTTTCATTTCTTTTTCAAGTGCTAGACACCTAGCTTTCAGCTCTTCGTTTTCTTTTTTTAGTTCGTTATCAGCCGCAGCTCCACTTTCAAGCTTCCTATTGATACCTTCGAATTCGGCATTTATGAAATCCATACCGGACTTCATTTCCCGTATATCGGTACGGAGTTCACGAATTTCATTACGGAAGTCTCTCTCTGGTGTCTCTCTCATCAATTTCCATTCGTTTTTCATTTCATCTCTAAGCTCCGCAAAAAGTTTCGTAAGGTCTTTCGTCATTGTTACAATGCACACCTTGTTATAGAAAACACACAAGTGGCAGCAGCGACGGCAATTTTGCGAAGACACAAAGATAAATCTCCGAAAATACGAACCTGCAAAGGAGCGTTGTCTTAGGAAGACGTGCCAGCTGCCGTCGCGGCTGCCAAATGATGCGTGTTGAAAGAACTCTTCTTCTTATAGCGCCAACGGCGGTGGGCGATACTGTAGAGCCAGCCAATCCAGGCGACGCAAACTTCCAAGCCGGGATTGCGTGTAGCCGCGGAAGAGAAGCAGCACTGTCGTCCACCGGTGACTTGCAGAACCTGCTGCTACCCAGGCAGTCGATGATCGCAGGGTAGCGGAATAATCTCGATAGATGCCGTCCAAGCAATCTGCAAAGGAGCGTTGTCTTAGAAGACGTGCCAGGTGCCGTCGCGGCTGCCACTTTGCAGATCACATCTGAATATTTGAACGTAGATATACTCACTTGGGTTACTTAAAAATGCAAAGTGTCATTCCGTTAATATGGCCCTTAGATAATTGTAACCTTCTTTAATTTAATATTATTACCGCACTTGACACCTTCCTTCACTTTCACTACATCATTATTAAAACCTCAGTTGTGAGTCAGCGCACTTTCCTTCCTGTTGTCTCATCTTTACGTAAATTATTTGCGCTGTTTAAGTCAAGATGTCTATCCAACTCGCCCAGCAACTCATTTTGGTAGCTGAAAAACCTTAAACACCCTGCAGGATGCCTTGTTCGCTGGGCTCTGGCTCTGGGTGACTAGGGCAGGGTATTTCAGTGCCTGCGTGCATGGTGCTAAAGTTGAGATGGTGCCTAAACCAGGGCTTTGTGTCGAAACAGATTACGTCACACAATCGTCTCTTTAGGACGCTGTCCGCGCTTCCCCTCACCACTACCCAGATCAAAAGCCGTTTCGCTCAATTTTCTCCAAGAGCGGGGAAGCGCATTTCCTGACATTTTCACTTTTCCTCGGTTCTCGCACTATTTTTACACCAGCGGTTTCGGCTTCTATCTTTCTTGCCATTCTCACCCGCGCGCTTCCTCACTCCACCTGCTACTGTTCGTCCCGATCCTGCTTGCTGGGTCTGTAGTTCAGGCGGCAAAGCACTCGACTTCCACGCCGCTGTCCGGGGATCGATCCCGGGCACCGGTTGACGATTTTCTTAGTTGCTACAGACTGAGAGACCTACAGATTTTTGTGCTTACGCGGCTCCTTAGGTTGCCTGCCCCTATGAAGTTCCGCTTTGATATAAATTAGTTCAAAAGGCACAAAACATGTTGATAAGTCAAACAGATTCTGTGTGTAAACGTATTACTTTTTCGAACGCATGGAAAGACGTTTCGGTCGTTAGTTTTTGTTGAAGCGAAATCCGTGTTTTGAAATTGGGTTGTGTGTGTGTTTATACAGCCTAGACCTTGGTCTGCCTCACAGGGGCGACGAGTCTCCCAGCTGTAGATGAGAAATTTAACCAGTGCGGTAGAGCCGCTAGCCTGGGGTCTTTAACGTGCATCACGCAGTAGTGATACACGACCGCACGCCGGTACGATGCTCATCCAGATCGAAACGGGCAGGGGTGGGGCTCGAACCCAGGATCCCTGGGCTCTGCAGCACGAGCTTTCGCTCCACGTGCTCCGAGCTGGTGTGCGCTAGACCACTCGGCCACCGATCCCCGCTCCGTGTTTTGATTCTTATGTAAGGTGAACGTAAACGTGCCATAAATGGGTACACAGTGTCATAAATAAAAACTCAAGGAATATATAATTTTTGATGCCTGAATGTAATCAATTAACATGTTGCCTGGCTGTTTACAAACCTGTGGTGTTAACAAGGCTATACGGTATTCCACGTGCATTATTATGTTGGTATCCGTTGTGGGATTCCACTTACCTTACTGCACCAGGAGGTTGATCCCACTCCGTAGCTCAATATAGAGGACTGCTACTGCCGGGCGCATTCGAAGGCTGCCGTGGGCTCCGAGGAGAGGAATCACTCCAAAACACAATAATTCTCTAGAAGCGGGTTTTATTGGCTCCTGTGCCACCACGCTGTGCCCGTCGGAAAAAATAATAGATTAAAAGAACGAAAAAGTGTCGGCGCTGTCGTATTAGACAGATTCACCTTGAGGGATACCCCGCTGCCGTATTAGGCAGATTCGTGGGACGAGGGGGAAGCGTAAAAAGAAAGAGGCTCGAGAAGAGAGCCTCACCCGAACAAGAAAGGCACGGCCGCCGTTCGCGGCCGGCTGATCAAACCCACGGGAAATGGACGCTCTTGGGGTGTGTGGCTTGACTTATCCCGCACAATCATTCCCAAGGGTGCACCACAAGCATATTCACCCAAAAAGAAGAGGTAGGAACCGCCCTCTTTGAGTAATGCAGCCTTGCCCCGTATCTGGGAAGCGGCTGCCATATAGCGGTCCCCACGGCCTGCATGTGCTAGGCCTAGATAGGAAGACAGGGAACACGTGGTTCCCACACTCCTCCATCTTTAAGGCTAAAGTGGGACTAAAAACAAAATTGGCCTACCGACTCTCAAAAGAAAAAAAAAAAAAAAAATCCGCGTCTGGTACCGACTTTTACATGCCGGGGTTGACAAATAGCGCGTCTTCGGTGACGTCTACAGGTTGGAGTTGGGTCCTCACCAAAGTCGCTAAAGAATAAGCTCTCCTTCCGGGCGTAGGAGCTGGGCGCCGTCTCCGCCGTCCTGGACAGCATGTTAAACATAACAGCATCTCGCGACTGGGAGAAAAGACCTGCGAAGAAAAGGAGGATCTCGTGCCATCAAAGGCCCGGGCACGCACAACTTCTTTTTCTCTGGACTGATCGTGCAACCGCTATGAGGAGCTGCTCAGATTAAATCGCTTGTGAGGCGCGTGCAGCGCGTGTTAAAGACTGACGTGGCTATTCCGAGCTTCGTCGCTTTCGCATCTTTGAAAAGAAAATCGGCTTCAACCGACGTTGAAACTACCGTTCCGGGACTCCGACGACCCAAAGCGAAGAAAGGAATCACAGGGAGCCCCAGGCCGGGAGAGATCTCGACACCCGGGCCCACCGATTCAAATGACACCCGGGCGAGGCTTAGCTCACCCGAGCTACGCCTAGGCGTGATGTCCGCCTCGGCTCCGATCGCACCTGAGGTGAGTACCTCGCCCCCGACGCCGCAGTCGCAAATCGATTCAATGGAAACGAATGAAGTGGTACCGCAAACGGCCGGACCAAGTGTATCGGCAACGTGCTCGACTCCCCAAGCTAGGAGCACAGCGTCGGCCCAAAAGAAACCTACCGAAATGTACAAGGTGAACATCCGGCCTCGGGAGCAAATGGACTTTTATCAAGTGACGACGCGGGAGATTGAAACAGCAATCTTTGCAGTCATCTCCGCCACTGCTTACCAAGGGCTAAATCGTCACAAGCCATCGAATTCTGCCACGGCATACGTCTCCACGCTAGAGGACGCCTTCCAGCTAACAAAGTTGTTGACTGTTGAACACCAGGGTAATCGAGCCGTGCAAGTGCAAGCGTATCTAGCTTCAGGTCCGAACGTCCATCGGTGTGTAGTGAGAGGCGTTGTACCCAACCACCCTGATCAAGATATTCTACCTGATCTCCGTACACCATCTCACAGAATTCTGGCGGCTCGCCGACTAGGCAAGGGAGACACATACCTCCTAACCGTTCAAGGTGAGCAGCAAATACCTGAAATCATCTATCACCTCGGGGCGATCCTGCGCCCACGAGAATACAAGCCATCTACGGTTATCTGCTACCGTTGCTGCCAACCAGGACACATGAAGGCCTTCTGTCCTGTACAAACTGTGAACCCTGAATTGGTCAACGCTGACGGCAGCGCGCGCTACCAGTGTGGCTTATGCCGCACTAACGATCACTCAATTGCCTCACCAAAGTGTCCAAGAAAGAAGAAGCTGGCGGATGTTAAATCCCGTAAGACTGACAAGCCCGCTCCTCATACCGGCAGAGCATCGATTTTGACGAAAAATCGATTCCAAGCCCTAGCCGAAGAAGGGGAAGAGGAGGAAAGTGATCACACGGTATCATCAAACGACGGCCTTGAGGCACTACAACCCTCGTACGCAGCGATTGTCAAGGCCACTAGAAAACTTCCGCGACCGCCTCGAAAGACAGCCACATCTCAACATTCGTCTCAAGATCTACATGGAGCTTCGCAAGAATCCAGCAGCTGTCATCAACCCAGGGGCGCCAAGAACATGCCGTCTCGTACCCCACGGCGTGGTCAGGAGGCCCGGTCACCCTCAGCGGCAGAAAATGTCAACATTGATGATGTAACCGGTCACTTGCTGTCCGTGGCCAAAGCACTGGACACACTTACAAGTCAAATCGCTGCAATGCAATCCTCCCTAGATGCCGTTCTTATGATCCTGCAGCGATGGATGAGTCGACAGTAGAGTGTCGTCCAGCCCCTCCGCTCCACATATTACAGTGGAATTGTCGTAGTAGCCGTCAAACGTTTGGGGAACTACGCACTAGAATCTTGTATCATCTGCTCAATCCATGGATCATCCTTGTACAAGAACATTTGGAACTCATTCGTATCCCCACGTACTGCGGCTACCATTCACCGTCCATTACTGATGCCCGGCATTTAACGACCTCAGACTTCGAGCCCTCTAGGCCCGGCAAAGCGGCTATCTATGTCAGAGATCATCTTCAGCACGCCCCAATAGACCTATCAAAATGGTGCACCTCCCGCCAGGAGGTAGTGGCTGTCCTTGTCCGGACACGCTACAATTGTGTTGTGACAGTCTCTTTCTACGGAAAACCTGGAAACGTTCGTCATAATCTCGGGTGGCTTGAACACATTCTCTCACTCCATCCCAACATACCTATTATCGTGGGTGGCGACTTCAATGCCCCGAACA